ATGGTCACTAATTTAACATAGAAATGATACAAATACTGACCCGATATATATAATACTTACAACTCTAAGGGCATCTGGCTGATAAATTTTTTTTTCAGATTGGTTCCTAAGGTTGTCTTAGTACATGAACTTCATCAGCTTCTCGTTCTTTGCATATTTCTGCACTGTGAGTGATGCACATTTCCTAAACAATCAAGTTTGAAATACCAAATTTTTAAGTATTTTCTTATAGTAAGACAGATGTTTGAATGTCAGGACAGTACCATATCTAACGTTAGCAAGGTCCTTTTTGAGGGTCTGATGTTTGGCATACATTGAGCAAACGTCTCTACTGCATGCTTGTCTATTTGAAGAGATGTTCATCTGCCTTGTGACAGAATTGAATGATTCAAATCTAAAAGAAAAATTCTGTATACAGTAGGGGGCAAAAGTTTGAGTCCAGTCTTTGTAGAATTCCGGTATTAAATCCTGGCAGCGTATTTGAGTTAAGACATGCGTGCTAGTGTTTCAGTATTGTAAACCATATCAATTGCACACTATTTTGGTCCTAATGATCTAAATTATAACAAAATAAAGTTCTCATTCCTTTACACTGCCCAAGATGGGTGGGAAAAAGGCCAAAGTGATGGTGCACAAGGACATATAGTTGCATTAAGCATTGAAGGATTCTTTCCTCATAAGATCGCATAAAAAGTGAGAATTTCAAAGGGTGGTATGCAACTAACCTTGGAGAGGTTTGAAAAAACTAAATCCTACTCAAGCAAACTTTTAGCTGCTTCCGTCATGCTGGGTTTGGCAATATTAAAAGATATAATAGGATCCTAATTATATAGTAGGATATATATAATAGGATCATAATAATCATCCGATTCTTCAAGGACATGGAATTTCATCTGGTACAAAGATAAACGTGCGTCTAACTACATGATAATCACCCTAAGCACATGTACATCTTCTATGTGCCAGAAATCTTAGAAGCAAACTCGTTCTGGTGATCTCGTTCTCCTGGCTTTCCACCTCAAATTCCAGATCTAAAACTTATGGAACACTTGTAGGACCGTTTTAACCGGAAAAGGGTGAGGCACAGACCAACCAGGTAGGATGACTTGAGGCAAGTGGTCAAAGAATGCTGGCAAGGTATTGAACGTGCGACATTCATCTATGCCAGCAAGAACAAAGGCCGTTTCAAGAGCAAAAAAGTGGGATATTAAGCATTGACATGTTAACTAGCATTAACATACGTTAAATGAGTATCATAACATCTCGTAGTTGTTGTGCAGCATGTATTTTTCAGTTTACTTATTTACTTTTTTCTAGTTCACTTATCTGTAAGGTTTTCTGTAGGAAATTAATATCTGCAGCTAAAACAATGAAATACAGTCACTGGACTCAAACTTTTGCCTCCTACTGTATATTTAAATTATCAGAACATCACAAAATGTTACAATATTCAGTTCATAATTTTTACAGTGTAAGCATTTGTAATGACACATATGAACAAATGTACACAGGATCATAGCCAGCATTGATAATTGGCGGCGGGGCCATAATAAATCATATATTCATGTTCTACATTATTAATTTCTTTTGAAATCTATTGTCTCGACAGTGAATTAACATGAGTGTTGTAATGATGTTAATATGAATACACTTCATATTAACAGGGTCTAACCTTTCAGTTGCAAAACCAATAGCCGGACCAAAATTAGAAATATCATCTAGCAAATGCAAGAGAGTATGCAGTTTTGGTTTTTGCATTATTTCTGGATGCACATTTTCCATATTCTCCAAGAATCTGCCTATTGCTGCCATGATCTTTTCATAGTCCCAAGTGTTGTAGTATGATGAGTATGCAATAGAAAACACCTGATAAATAAACAAAAGATGTTGTACACTAAGGATGTTTGCCTTATATTGTATAATATGTACATTGTAGCCAAAAGATTAATGCGTCACTGCCCTCAAAATGATTAACCGCTGTCACAAATGTTCATATATTACTTCATTACATATTTGGGAGCTGAGAGCCACCTAAACTCGCCCATCTAAGAGCTGGGATTTCGCCCACCTGGTGAAAAAACAGGTGGTTAGGCTAATCTGTCAGTCTACCCCTGTTTGCAGTTCAATCTATTTGATATAGATATTACTCTTACCTTGGCAAAGAAATTACTTAATTTTAATTTAATAATAATTGTTAGTACTTCACTGAGATTACTCCACACTTCCAGTTCTTCCTCTTTGAAAATATCCATCAGAATGAAGACAGCAACTTGTTCCCATAACTTAAAATCACAGCCAACATAAAAGCCATACATAGATGTAATACTACTTGCCAGCTTTACAGGAAATGCAGAGAAATCAAAAGCCTCTACTTTGGGTTTTATCTTCTTTTTTTCATCAGGTGACAGGCTTTTCATGGTCTTAGCCAAGAGGTATTTCACTGCACCAAGTAGTGTGGTATGGAGTATTTCAACTGGTGTTTGCCTAAAGTTCTTGAATATGATACCATGAATAGAACTGTGTGTCGCTCATAGAACTGTAAGTTAATATGTTATATGTTTACTTACTGAACTGTGTTAAATATTTTGAGACTATCAAATTGTCCTCCGCGTTCTCTCACTTCCGATTCTCTACCTAATAGAATTTGTTGTTTATTTGATCTAAACGTAGTAAAAACTTCAAATAACCGGTTTCTTCAAAGTGTAATCATTATTTATTGAGTAAGCAAGTGTGGTTAACCCATATCGATTTTGTTACCTTGCGTTTTCTATACTACGAATTGTGTTTCTTATTGCCTCATTCGTACGTATCATTCCAATTTCAGTAGCCTCATTCGTATGTATCATTCCAATCACAAGACCCGACAAAATTTCTGTTTCGTTTCATTTTTTTAAAAAATATTTTTCACGCTCACTTTTTATCATGGATCTCTGCCATCTCCGCCTTGGGGCATTTGTACATAAAAATAATTTTGTATTTATCTCCAGATTTAAAGAGCACGTAATTGACTTCCATTGACGATGGATGCCGTTACAGGAGAATTCGGCGAATCTTTGCATTTTGATTGGTCGACTGAAATCAATGAACTTTTCTTGCGTTTGCTCCATGTGTCAGCCCCGCCACTCTTCTTGCTTTTAAAATCTAATATTTACTTTTTTCATTCTAATAAAATTGTTTTTCACATTTGAAGCAAGCCAACAGGAAGACAGTGACAAGACGCAAGACCCAAACAAGTGAGTTTGTTTTGTTTTGGAAATACGAAGTTATAATACCATGCAATAGGCTGTGTAAATAACAGCGCATTATGTTAATTACTTTTTTATATAGTTTGCACGATATAATGAAGCCACTCTCCCCTTCAATACAGACAAACTTCAACAAAACGGAGGTAAGAAACGGCCTTTTGCCTTAACAAAATGTTCAAATTTGTGGACAATGTATAATTTTTTTTTAAAAACTTACAAAAAGTTTCTGTATTTTTTAAAAAGTCGATGAGAAAATGCTGCAAAGAGGATGCAAAGTGGCAGCAGTTTAACTAGTTTAGCTGCATCTATGGGTAGTGTGAAGTTCTTAATTTCATCAAACAATTGTTTATAATTTAATTTTATAAATATCCTGAATTTACGGTTGATTAAATTACAATCTAGGTCAACAACAAACCCAAACGATAGACACTACACGGTCGAGACCTGTCATTAGGCCGTCGTTTGTCAGGGTCAGGAGAGCTGTACCTCAAGCTGTATCGCCTACTGAAGATACTCTGTTTGAAGGTAACAAATACATTCAAGTATTATTTTGTAGCATATATCAAAGCTATTTTTTTGAACAAAAATAATTGCTCAAACTTGATTTTTCGTAGCACTATCACTAGCACCTCTGGCAGCAGTAGTGAAGGTAATTCATTTAATCTGCATGAATGTGGATACTTTTTCATTGTCTCTTTGTGTAGGGTTTTCTCTTATTTATTTTATGGGTTTTCCCTCAACAAGGATTTTCCCTGACACTCATGTATGAATAATTTTACTGTTTTGTCAAATGTTAGAAGCACTGAGAGAGTTAAATCACTGAAAAATGAGGTAGTCTCACTGAAAAGAGACTTTAGAAGTATGGCAGAAAAACAGTTGGAACTGATTCAGCTGGTCAAAGCCATCAAGAAGGGATGTGATTCATCTCAATTTGACATAGGGAAATGTTGCCATACTGTGAGTTCAACATACAATACACTTATACATACTATGCTAAATTATTAACATCACAAATACAAGTTAAATATTGTAATTATTGTTGTAAATAATTACAGGACAATGTTAATAATATCATTGGGCAATTTTATTGCTTAAAGGGGTGTTTTCCAATATCTGATGATGGAAAAAAGGTAATATTTAGCATTTATATATATATTGTCTGTATCCAATTTCTATACATGTGTATGTATATACAATTTAAACATATGGTTTTAAGTAAATTATCTCATTAAGGGTATTCCTGACTCATTATAGTAACTGCTACAGGGCAAATTTGACCAGTCCCCGACCGGCCTGTCTACTCAGGAACTTTTACTTTGCTGTTCAAAGTATGAACAGACAAAGTTTTCATACTGGAGAAGTGAGGAGAGAAGAAGGGTAAAATATTCTTTACCTAAAGATTCTTTCAACTACAGATATCTATTCTGTTGTCTGAATGGAACTCAAATATAAGTTAAAGTAGTTGGCTGGGGCCGGTTGTTCGAAAGGTGGATAAGTTGCTATCCAACGGATAACTCGCTATCCAACGGATAAGTTTTATCCAGCGTGTGATTTGCGTTGCACGAAGCTTGGATAACTTTATCCAGCGGATAAAAATCGCTATCTACTGGATAAATCTATCCAAGGTCCGGAGGTAGTTTAAATCCACTATCCAGTGGATAAATTTTTCAAACGTTGAAGAGTTTGCTTTTAAATCCCTTCGTATTTAACATGGCAATATACAGGATGCCTGGTTTTGCGCTTCCCCGGGTCAATATGCGTGCTGACAGGCAATACAGACGGGAAATTCACAATATTTTTGAATACTACAAGGATGATGAGTGTAGAGCACGATACCGGTTTGGAAAAGATGCCATTAGATTTATTGTAAATCTTGTTCATAACGAAATTCATCCTCCGACGAATCGTAGCTATGCCCTTTCTGCAATGAAACAAGTGTTGATTACACTTAGATTTTTAGCGACAGGAAGTTTTCTTCAAGTCATCGGCGACACCTTTGCTGCATTACATAAGTCCACAATTAGTCGAGTCGTACGTAGGGTCTGTATAGCTTTGGCTCGAAAGCTGGATCAATTCGTAAAGTTTCCAGGAACGAGAGAAGAAAAGGATGAAATCAAGCGAGGATTTTACGAACTAGCTGGTTTCCCATGTGTTGTTGGTTGTGTAGACGGCTCACACATTCGCATTATCGCACCGTCGGAAAATGAACCAAACTATATCAACAGGAAGGGTTATCACAGCATAAACGTCCAAGGAATCTGTGATCACAAAGGTACAAAACATTCATTAAATATATTTATACCTTGTTGATGTAGTGTTTTATTACATGTAATACGTGATATTCTTTATTGTATAAACTATGAAAGTCTAATAATATTGGATAAATATATACACTTAGGACCCAGTCATTCATAGTTATCTCTTGGCAACATATAATATTGTATTATTTACATTACATACAATATGTAGTATGCAGTATATAATACAATATCAAAAATATTCTCATAATTGAAATATATTGTTGCATTTTACAGGAAAGCTCCTAAATGTAGTGGCAAAATGGCCAGGCTCAACGCATGATAGCCATGTATTTCGGACCTCATCAATTGCCCAAGATCTCGAAGGAACAACTTTGGATAGTTGTGTTCTCTTGGGCGACAGTGGTTATGCCTGCCTGCCATATTTGATGACACCATATAATTACCCACAGACAAGGAAAGCACGTTCTTTTAACAGATCCTTAAAAAGCACTCGTTCAGCAATTGAACGTACATTTGGCATACTGAAAAGAAGATTCCACATATTGCATGGTGAAATCCGAATGGCACCAGATCGAGTGTGTACAATAATTGCTGCTTGTTCTGTTTTGCATAACATTGCAATGGACGTCAATGAGCCAGAAGATGATGATGTTGATGAGGATCCAGGTTTGAATGTTGGTAACAATTATCAAGGTCCTCACAGGGGAAATGCTGTTCGGGATTATATAACAAATACATATTTTTGACAATTTTGTATGGAACTTTAAAGTTTAGCAGTACATGTTTTTGACGTTGTGGCATTGTTTTGTAATTGAAAGTTACTAGAGTCATAAAAGGAGTCAGGCAGTGGGATATTGCTAGGTACAGGAGAAGCAGGGGGAAACTGTAACAATTTGAAAATCGTTAAATTGTTTGGCGTTTGTAAAATAAATAAATATAGGGCTTACTGTGGCTGAATGGGTATAAAGAATCCTGGTCAATCACAATGCAGTGTGTGTGTTTGTTAACATTTCTGTTATGTTGTGACTGTGAGCCAGAGGCAGCCATTTTGCATGCAGCATTGCATAATGATTCTCCAGGGCTCTTTAAACAACTGAAATATCGACAAATAGTTATGTTGATATTGTTATATATACACACAGTTGTTGAAATTCAGTTAAAAATAAGTACATCAATGTATTATAAATTAAATATATTTGCAATTTTGCACACAATAATTTTGTTTTAACATTTTGCAATCAATTTCAATAAAAAGTATGTATTAACAATTATTAAATATTTTTATATATACATACAAATAATGAAATATACTTGAAGTAAGTAAATCAATGTATTACAAACTCTTGAATATATTCACCATTCCAAACAATAATTTTTTTTTAACACTGCAATCCATTTCTTGCCTCCATTTCTTGTAAATCAAGCTTTAACTTTTTATTGATTAGTTGAACATTTTCAATTTCAATTTTTAATTTGTCCTTTTCTAGTTCTAGGACCTGGATTTGCATTTTTTGTACTTCATTTGTTGTGACACGCCTCTTTTTTGGTGGAAACCCTTTCTTGGTGGGGGCTTCAAGATAGGTGGGGGCTTCAAGATAGTTGGGGGCTGCAGAATTTGTGGGGGCTACATGGTGATTTGTTCGGGCTGCAGTAGTGGTTTGAGCAGCTGGTGTGGGCCAATAAGCAGATGGGTCATGGAAAGCCACAGTGGTGGGTTGTTTAAAAGTGATTGAAGCAGCATGGGAAGCTGGGGTACTTGCATCGATTTTCGGATAATCTGCATTTGCAGCTTCCTCCATCATGCTATCTCCTTCCTCCAAGAAACTATCTCTAAGACTATGTCCTATATGTATAATATTACAAAAATTAAACTACAAGATTTTTTAGATGTACATTGTAAGTTATAAATACATTTATATACCTTCAAAATTACTAAGAGCATTGGCAGAACCAGATTCAATACCACCAGAAATTCCTGAAAAGGATGGCTCGTCCCCAAAAATACTGATTATTCTCTCTGAATTGCCTGTTGGTGGTATAGGCTCCTTCATTAAATCTTCAAGTAGGCCTTTCCACTTCAATGTGTCCCTTTTAACATCAAAATGACTATACAATACATTCAAAACCGCTGATGAATTCATTTCTTGAGAAAATGTAAGTATTAAGCAGAGCTCTAAAAAGCATGTCGTAGTCTATTCCTAGTTGGTTTTTAATTTAATGTTCAAATGACCTTTAAAAACTGTCATTTAAAAGGCTGAACTGCAGCCTTTCATGGTGTTGATTAAACAAACTATTTACATCATTATTTATAGAAAAAATAAGAATGTTAATGAACATAGGTCAATGTAAATCTATGTATTATACAGCTACACAACTAACTTGTGTCATTTGATAAATCGCTTTCGGGGGGTGGCAATTGTATGGGTTCTCTGTGAAATTTCGCTCAGGCTGTAAGTTGTCCCTTCTGTGGCAACGATGCCCTATTAGCAACAAATACTTCTGGATCCCAGCATTTTGACAACCTTTTCTTTGTCTATGCGCTCTTGTTTTCCATCACCTGAAGGCTGATTGAAGGATGGCAATTCAAATTCCGAATAACATTCCTTAGCACCTGTCCAGTAATAATATCCGAGATCAGGATCAATTATCTTACTGAATTCACTCACAAGCTTGAAAAAGATGATTTAATGGAGTTATGCAATAACCTAGGTTAACAACAAGGAAACCGGTCAGTGACGTCAGGCAACCATGTGACCGAATGGGAGGGGCGAGTGGAGGCAAGGTGCGGAAAAGAGCCCGCAGAGGGCATTAACAACCCGTCGGCGAACAAGCGATAACGTCGGCAACAGCAGCTTGTGGTAAAGTGCTATAGTAAATTTCTTTCTCTGTTTGTGAGTTAACTTGGCTGGTATTCACATCATTATGAACGATAACCCAAAGGCAAAGGAGACTCAAGCGTCTAGTTTGGACAACCTGGCGACCACGGGCGTTTCATGGGAAGCCGCTTTCAAATCGGCGGAGTTTGTCAGTGGCTTTAAATCCTTAGTGAATGAAGTGCTTCATGAGGCAAGAGGGCCCGTAGAACGGGCTCAGCAACTAGAGCAGCCCGGAGACCCGGCGCACACTTTTCAAAGTGACCCACAACAGATCCAAGTCAAGGTATGTTGAATGTCCCGTCATTCATCCCAACTAATCAGGATAGTGCACACACTGGTCCCCCAGCCAACAACCAATCGAACATAAATTCTGTTGTCGGTAACCAAACTGTTGAACAGTTAAATCAGCCCTAACACCGTCGGGGTGTTGTATAATGCTAGCCCTGAAAGCGCCTTTGTCCTCGGTCCTGGCCGGTCGCTAATCCCGGCCAAGCTGGTGAAAAAGATCGTGTCGCACAAATTTATTGATTTGTCCGAACTGATTCCTGAGAATCTAGAAGAACCGCCAAACAAGTTACCCTCCTTTTCTATAGTGGGGGCCCAAATTGTTACTAAACCACAACCGGGGAAAAAACAGGACATCTCGGACATTCTTACATAGGTGGAATGCTTTAATAGTTACACGGCCGTCCTCACCAGCTTTTTCCCCACGCGCGCTCGCGACCTGTTAGCATACATGGCGCTAATAATTTGCACATTGGTTCAGTGGCATGGGCTGGTTTCATTATGATCGCGCATATCGCCGAGAAGCTGCGGCTAGCAACAGTCGCAATTGGAGCATGATGAGGCCCGACTTGTATCATTACCAAACCACGGTGACTAATACACAACAGCTGGACCGGATTAAAAAGGATACGCCCCTCAATATGTCAGGTAACTGGAGCTTTCGCGAAGAACCCCGGAGAGGTTTCACCGGTCGGCTACTCTGCCATTCGTGGAACGCCGGGTTTTGCAACAGCTATCAACAGATATGCCGCTTCCGCCACCTCTGTTCATTCCCAGACTGCCAGTACTATCACCAGTTGCTCAAGCACCATCGCCATGTGTCCGCAAAGCGAAACCGATCCCCAGAACGTCGGCCCAAGGACTGTTGTTGAGCCTTCTCTCGATAAACAATCCAACCCCTCGCTTAGTAATATTGTGTTGTGTAACTTTTTGTTGAACAGCAACCAAATGAACAATTATTTGACCACAGCTGTGCTTAGTAACTTTCCACTTAAAATTGACACTTTTGACACGCTTTTAATCGCGCATCCGGATCGAGTTAAAGTTAATTACGTTGTAACAGGACTTCGCGACAGTTTCCGGATCGGTTTTAATTCGGAACATATACGATTACGGTCAGCGGATGACAACTGTTGGTCAGCACTGGCATACCCTGAGGTGATTGACAAGTACCTCGAGGGTGAAATTCAGGCTCACTGAGTGGTCGGACCTTTCGACGCGCCACTGTTGCCAAATTTGCATGTCAGTCGGTTTGGAGTGATTCCCAAGAAAAATAGACCAGACTCGTGGCGTTTAATACTAGACTTATCGTTCCTGCTTGATCACAGCGTCAATGACAGCATATCAAAACTCGATTTCCGGTCAGTTATAGTTCAGTTCACGACGCCATTCGGTTCATAATTAAAACTGGCAGGGGTGCGCTTATGGCGAAGGTAGTTATTCAAAAGGCGTACCGTATTGTTGGAATTCATCCGGACGATCCTCATTTCTTGGGAATGTGGTGGCGCGATAAATATTTCATTGATTTAGCTTTACCTTTTGGTCTTCGGTCTGCACCCGGGATTTTTAATACGCAACATTAATACGGTGTAGTAGATGTGCTCCACTACCTTGAGATTACTTTACTCTTGGTCCGGCAGGGACATCAACCTGTGAAGATTCGATTCGCGCCATTCAGGAGGCTGCACATGAACTTGGTGTGCCTCTGGCCCCTGATAAGTGCGAGGGGCCAACTACGTGCTTGACTTTTTTGGGTATTGAGCTAGATTCTGATAACATGACCGCGTGCCTCCCAAGCGAAAAACTATCAGAGCTACAAACGCTTTTTACGCAATGGGCGGGGAAAAAGTTTTGCACTTGTAAACGGATGGAATTGCTAGTCGGAAAGCTTAATCATGCATGCGGGTTCGTCGTACATGGCCGGACTTTTATCCAACGTCTGATCAGTCTGCTTCGCACAGCTAAGCCGCACCAAAAAAAAGTTTATTTGTTTAACCAAACAAGCGAGCCTGGACTTGCAATGGTGGGACTCTTTTTTACCATCATGGAATGGCATTTCGTTTTTCGACCTTCCGGAATGGACCCCGGTGCCCGACTTTGAACTCGCGATGGACGCATCCGGTAACAAAGGCTTCGGCAGGTTTTACCGCCAGGAATGGTTCTCAGCAGCGTGGTTACCGGGGCAACTGCATTTCGGTATGGCATACAAGGAGTTGTACCCAATTGTTATTGCATGTCACCTGTGGGGTCACAACTGGCGTAATCAGCGTGTGCTCGTCCACTGCGATAATCAGAGTGTGGTGCAAATCATTACGTCTGGTGTCTGCAAAGACGATACAATCATAGACTTAGTCCGGGAGCTCTTCCTTGTGGCAGCCACGCACAATTTTCGCATTTTCGCAGTGCATTTACCTGGTAAAGAAAATTCAATCGCTGACGCTTTATCTCGATTCCCCTTTCAGGAGTTCTTCCGGCTGGCCCCCGAGGCGCACAAGGTCCCTCGTTCGATTCCACCTGAAGTGCAAGCACAACTGACCTCAAATCTTTGAGGGAGAAAGCTACCGCCCTGCTTATCAACAGCTTAGCCAATCGACCCGGCGAACATATAGTGCGGCCCAACACCATTTTCTCTAATTCTGCTACTGAAGCGGGCAGTTTCATGAGTCGGGTTCTCCTCTCCCAGCAAACGAGTGGACCTTAATCCTGTTTGTAACCGCGCTGTCTTCCTCCCTCAAGGCAAGCTCGATAAAGGTGTATCTGTCAGGAGTTGGTTCCTTACATGTCGAAAGCGGCTTCGGGAATCCTCTCTCTGATTGTCTCCGATTGGAACAGGTTCTTCGCGGGATAAAACATACTCAAGGTCTCGCCAGTCGGCCGTGTTTACCGATAACAGCCTCCATTCTTCGTATATACTCATTGCTTGACCTGCACAACTATTGGGACGCATTGTTCTGCGCGGCGTGCTGTACAGGGTTCTTCGGTTTTCTGCGTTCTGGCGAGTTTACCACGACCGGCACCTACGACCCTACAGTCCATTTGTGGTTGTCGGACATATCGGTGGACCAGCGAGTGAATCCGTCGGTTCTGTTTCTACGCATCAAAGCTTCAAAAACGGATCAATTTCGTAGTGGACATACACTGCGCCGTACGAACACTCCGATCTGTGCTGTGCATGCCGTGGTCCACTTCCTCCAGCTCCGGGGCAGCTCTCCAGGCCCCCTCTTCGTGTTCCAGAACGGCACTCCTCTATTCCGAAATCACCTCATGTCATGGACGTGCAACACACGTTCTGGACCATCTGATTAAGACAATGGGCAGGTGGCTAAGCGATGCATACCAAGTGTACATTAGAACTTCGCAGAGTGTAATCGACCGCGTACCAGCTCGTCTCATTGCGTTGACTATAGATTAGACAAAGAAAAAAGAAAAACAAAAACAAAAAAAACAACAAAAAAACGTGTATATAAGTTTGGTTGTCAGTCACAATAAAAGATCTTATGGTTTATCGCTTTTCCTCATTTTGTCCGGTCCGCCTGCTTATCGATCAAATGCCATTGGGACGGGCCTGGTATGTCAGTTATGACACCTATACATGCGGTGCTTCCCCCACCTTGGGAAGGGTCAGCCCAAAGGATGGGTGAGGACGAACGTTGTGCTGCCATTCCAGCTCGCAACAACGTCCTCGCACGAGTCGGTACCATTTTTCGCGTTACAATCTAGTTGGGCGGGAATGCAACCCCACAGGGTGCTATCCTGGTACACGTTTTGCTACCATCTCAGCTGATAACAACATTCGGGCTCATGTCGGTGCAGGCGTGTTCTCTCCCCAGAGGGTAGCGAGGGGATTCGGCGCCAAGGTTGCCTCGGCCTCATTGTGCTCCCATTGAAGCTGGGAACAACGTCCAGAGCAACAGAGTGCAGGCATTGCCTTACCACGCAGTGTGGTAAGAAGTGCAGCGTTTTTTTTTGCAGCTAACACCTAACCATCCAATGGGGTAAGTAAGATGGACAAAGGTGTTAAATGGGGTTATGCAATAACCAAGGTTAACAACGAGGAAACCGGTCAGTGACGTCAGGCAACCATGTGACCGAATGGGAGGGCGAGTGGAGGCAAGGTGCGGAGCAGAGCCCGCAGAGGGCATTAACAACCCGTCGGCGAACGAGCGATAATGTTGACAACAGCAGCTTGTGGTAAAGTGCTATTAGTAAATTTCTTTCTTTTCTCCTTTGGTTTACTCCCTTCGATTTTGAGGCGTACAGAAACGAACCACTGGCAGACGAAGCCTGGTTACAGAACTACGAAAGGGAAACAGAACAAGAAAGACGACAAATCGAAGAATATACACAGAGATTGAAAAGCGAAGTACCTGTTAATTCATGGTAAATATTCTATGAAATAACAATCAGTGTTTTGCAACGACCAAAGTCAAGCATTATTACTGTAAATTTAGAACTTGTAAAAAAGATGACTGTATGTTTTTAATTGGTAGGTGCAATTGTGGAAATTGCAATGTGGATTTGTTAACAAATCCTAAGGAGTGTATAAATGCTGTCACGAAATCGTGGATTGTTTGATAGAAATGCAAGACGAAGTGGTTGTTAAGCCAACTAGGGAAGCAGCCAAACTGGATCACAGACCATCCGGGTTTTAATGCCATTTGTCTCAATCGATGGTCATTACAATTATCGGCGAGCCAATACCAAACGTGAGATGGAATAAGATATCATAAAAAAGCCTTGGAGGGAAGGTGTTGTATTATTGTTTAATATGTTAATTTATGCATAGATTTAGCTATATAAAAGTGCTGTACTCATGTTAGTATGTTATATTATAATAAATGTTACACGTACAAATGGACAAACATAACATGGTGCCAGGTGTGGGATCTTCAACTTGAATAGAAATCGTAGAGTTTGGAGAAGTTTATTTAGAAAAATGGATAAATTAAGACAACCTGCTGAGTTGCAATTCGTTTCGAGCGATGGTGATTTGTCTGAGCGGTGGAAAAGATGGATACAAACAGTCAATTTATACATGGATGTCTGCATGAAAGAAGCCTCTGAGAAAGAGAAATGCAGTGCTTTCCTCTATATATTATTGGTCAAGATGGGAGAGATATCCACAACACATTTGATTTTGAGACGAGCAAAGTTGACAAGATAAAACCGTTAATACAAGTTTGAAGATTATTGCATACCAAAGCAGAATACAACAATGCAGTGATACAAGTTTAATAAACGTGTGCAAAGTGAAACCGAATCAGTTGACCAATATGTTACTGAACTACGGCTTTTGGCGAAGAACTGTCGTTTTGGAGAACTACAAGAAGAGTTAATTCGGGATAGAATCATTTGTGGCATAAAATCAGACAGACTTCAAGCTCGATTGCTTTGAGAAGACGACTTAACTCTAGACAAAGCCATTAGCATATGCAAAGCAGACGAAGAATCGCGTAAACAACTTAAAGACCTGACGAAAAACGATAGTTTTAAAGTAAATTCAGTAAAGAATAGTTAAAGAAAAGTGAATAATGAAGGCAGACCGGCGAAGTTTAAGCGAGAAAAACAGAAAATACCATCGGGCGGCTCGGGTTAAGTAATAAAATGTGGCAAATGCGGGCAAGACCATCCGAGCAAGAAATGTCCAGCATATGGCAAAGTCTGTCATGAATGCCGAAAATTAAATCATTTTGCGAAGTGTTGCCGCTCAAGAAAAGTACATGGAATTGATCAACGCGATATAGATCCGGATAATTTATTTGTTGGAACGGTTCACAAGAAACCCGAACAGTTGACTAAAACAGAATTGACGAAAGACGAGTGTTTTATAACTCTAGAGGTTCACAAGACACCGATTAAGTTTAAAGTTGACACAGGATCGCAAGCGAACATAATTCCCATGTCGATTTATCGAGAATTGAAAGAGCCTAAAGGACTGATTCAAACGTCAAAGACCTCATTGACAAGTTACACTGGTGATAAACTTAATGTTGTTGGCAAATGCATGTTGAAATGTATGAACAAACAGCTGAACTTTTTCGTGAGTGAAACAGATCAGTATCCTATACTTGGTTTTCAAGCGTCACAAGAACTCGACATAATCAAGGTAGTGATGGGTACTAATAAAGAGGGAGATTTTGAGGAGAAATATTCAGAGGTATTCAAAGGCTTGGGGTGCCTGAAAGAGCCATATCACATTGAATTGGATCCGGAGGTGTCAGCTGTAGTAAATCCAGCGAGAAAAGTTCCTGTAGCAATAAAAGGTCGTTTGAAGCTTGAGTTAGAAGAAATGGAGAAGCAAGGAGTTATTCGTAAAGTGGACAGACCGACTGACTGGGTAAATTCAATAGCAATAGTGGAGAAACCAGGAACGGGGAGATTACGAATATGCCTGGACCCGAAGCATCTAAATGAAGCGATCAGATGGGAACATTTCCAATTACCAACGGTAGAAGAAATAGCGTCTCGGGTATCTGGTGCAAAAGTGTTCTCCAAATTAGATGCAAAACATGGGTATTGGCAGATACCATTGGATGAGCCAAGCCAACTCCTAACGACGTTCAGTACACTGTTTGGCAAATATTGCTTCATGAGAATGCCTTTTGGCATTAAATTCGCACAAGAGGTTTTCCAGAAGAGAATTTTGCAACATTTTGATGATCTCGAAGGCGTAGCCACTGACATTGATGATATACTCATTTGGGGATCGGATGAACAGGAGCATGACGCACGATTAGAAGCCACCCTACAACGTTGTGAAGAAATAAATCTTACTTTAAATTTAGACAAGTGCAAGTTCAAGATGAACGAAGTATCGTATTGTGGTCACATCTTCACGAAAGATGGAGTGAAACCTGATGAATCGAAGATTAAAGCAATTCAAGAGATGCCGACACACGTCGAAGAAGGAGATTGAAAGATTACTTGGAACTGTTAATTATTTAGCAAAATTTGTACCTAACCTCGCAACGATCACAGCTCCAATCAGAGAACTGCTGAAGAAAGATATCGAGTTCTGTTGGTCCCACGAGCAGACGAAAGCTTTTGATGAGATTAAAGAAATTCTTACTCGGAAACCAGTTCTCACATTTTTTGATCCAACTAAACCGGTTATAGTGCGTTGTGATGCCTCGCGGAATGGACTTGGTGCAGTTCTGATCCAGGAAGAACAACAAATTGCCTATGCGTCTCGTTTAAATGACTGAAGCAGAAATAAGATACGCGCAGATTGAGAAAGAACTTCTCTCTGTTCTATTTGCTCTTGAAAGATTCAATGCGTACACCTATGGCGTGAAAGTCCTTGTTGAAAATGACCATAAACCACTTGAGATCATTTAAAAGAAATCCTTACATGATGCGCCTCTGAGATTGCAAAGGATGTTGTTAAGATTACAGAAATATAACTTCACCTACAAGCATAGACCGGGCAAGGATCTGGTGGTAGCGGACACTCTATCACGGGCACCACTTCCCACTACAGATTCAGAGTTAGAGAAAGAAATATCATGCTATGTTCACATGGTGATGTCAAATCTTCCGGCAACAGATGACATGATGGCGAGACTCAGGATTGCCACAGAAGAAGATGAATCGTTACAGCAGTTGAAGAAGACTGTTTTGAACGGATGGCCAGATTCGAAACGAGAAACACCAGTCAAAATTAGGGAGTATTGGCATTGTAGAGAGGAGATCTCAGAGATTGATGGGATCCTTTTGAAGAATGAAAAGATCATCATCCCAAATTCCCTCCGACCAGTAATGTTGGAAAAGTTACATTATTGTTCAAGTTACATTTTATTATATCACCGTAGTCATGAGTTAATACAAGTATGGTCGAGTTGTTTTGGACTTTGGTGAGGAATTACAATGCAAAATTGTCATCTGTGTGTAGTAAAATATCCCGGGTCCTAAAAACTTACGTGGGTCGATGTTCGGCGATGTGTCGACCGTGGGGGTTTCGGTCGTGACTAGGGTGATCAATTTAAGCTAGTCAAGGTTTTTAATTATAAAGGTTCGTATGTATTTAGAAGTTTTATAATCAGTTTGTAAACCGTGCATATAATTGTGAGTGTAAGGTTGTAGGTATATAGATATCAATGGTTACTGTATATATACAACATATGAACTGTACATTATATTACATAAGGATTGTTGGACGTGACCATGTTTCCCGTGACCATGTTCATGTGGTATGATTTGAAGTGTATTTAATCTGTGTGGTTGAACATTTAGGTTCTGTTTGGGCATCTGGTCACATTTATGGCTTAATTCTGCTAAGGACAAGTATTTTTTTAAAAAAAAATTATTCTATACTTATGTCAGCGGGATGCCCAGGATGCCAGATTTGATGTGACTGGTTAAGGTCATGTAGTTTTCACAGGAGAGTGCCACAGGGTTTGCTTGTCATGTGTTGGTAATTGCATGTTCTCACTTATAACCCAGTGTGTCCCAGAAAGTTCTTTAGTTTGTTATATCCACTCTGGTGTTTTCAAGGTGGTATTCAGACACAATGTTAATTGGGAGTGGTTAAAAATTTTTTTGTATCTCTGTTCAGGGTGGTGTGGAGGTTTCTGACTGATTTAGGTTAGGTTTGGGGTTGATGGGAGGCTTGGGGGATTTGGGTTATGGGATGTTATTATGTTTGGTTAGTGTTGTGTCTGGTATTAAGTTTTGCTGTGATAAGTGTGTCTCTCAGGTTAGTATTACGTTGGTAGGCTACAATTGGAGGTTCTTGCCATAGACTCCTCAGTGTGGGGTCATTCTCCAATATGTTCCAGTGTTTACGTAGGATGTTTGCAATGTATTTCGTGTTTGTGTTGTATGGAATGGAGAAAATTGGGCGGCTTGTGTTTTTTTGGTTTTGTTTCCTATTGAGTAGGTCTGTTTGAGTGTATTGTAGGGCTTTGTTGAAGTTAGTGGTGATGGTGTCATGGTCATATCCGCGATGGATCAGTGCAATAAGGAGGTGGTTTAGTCGTTGTTGTAATTTGTTGTTGTCTGTAATAATGCGTCTGTATCGTAGTGCCTGACTGTAGATGACTGCATTCTTGCATGTGGTGGGGTGAAATGAGCTTTTGTGTAGTAGAAGGGTTTTGTCAGTTGGTTTAATGTACAGGTCTGATTCCAGTTTGTTGTTTTTGTTTTTGTAGATAGTTGTGTCAAGGAAGTTGACACATTCCTCAGAAAAGGAGAAGTCAAATTTAATGGTAGGATGGAAATTGTTGATGTATTTAAGGAATTTTTTCAGTTTGTCAGTGCTATGTGTCCAGATTGCAAATATGTCATCTATAAATCTTACCCATTCAATAGGTATAAGATTTTCAGGAGCTTGTTGGAGGAGCTCCTGTTCAAGTGCTGCCATGAATATGTTTGCATAGGTAGGTGCCATTGGTGATCCCATAGCAGTGCCGTGAATTTGTAGGAAGTGTTCGTTGTTAAAAGCAAAGGCGTTCTTCTTAAGTACAAGGGATAGGATGTCATGAACTAGTTTCTCCATTTCAGGGGTAATTGTGTTGATTTTGTATTTTGACATAGGTAATTGGAACCATATTGTAGTTCTTATATAGTTATAGGTTAATTTGTAACAATTATCTGAATTAAACCAGCTAGAGAAAAAGGTTAGGTCGTTATATGTGTGGGCAAAAGGGGAACATAATAAGTAATTTGTTGCATAGTTAATTGCGAAGTAAGATGCGTTAGTATGTTAGGTCACTGGGGTCAGGTGTCAAAGTCATTGTTGGGGATAGTGGAGGTTTATGTGTCAATAAACTAGGGGGACTGTTTTCTGGTTCATTGTATGAGATTGACTCAATTGTTACAACTAGAACTAAACAATATGGCAAGCTTGGTGGCGCTCTATCCGTTCCCTATAAGGGGTATCACAATGTTTATTTTATATTTTGACATAGATAATTGGAACCAAATTGTAGTTCTTATATAGTTTTAGGTTAATTTGTAACAATTGTCTGAATTAAACCAGCGTTAGGACGTTAAGGTTAGGACGTTAAGGTTAGGACGTTATGTATATGTGGGCAAAAGGGGAACAAAATAAGTGATTTGTTGATTAGTTAATTGCAAATATAGCATTCCATAATTAATAGGCATTCCATTTATATTAACGATGTACATATCTAAAGGATAGTGATCAAGCAAGCTGCTATGAGATATTGAATTAAATTCATTAGTAACCATGACTTCATAGCAGTGCATGCGATTGTTAAATGCAATTGTTTGCATCTTTTTACAAAAAAAACACAATATCCATGTTTGGTAGCATAAAAATATTGTGCAGCATCAGGAACTCTGGAAAAATAAATTGCTGGTAGACCACTACCATTCCCCTCACATACTTATCAGCACAGATATTACACCAATAAACCCTTAAGAAAAAAAAATATGCAGCCTATACCATGCACTAAGGTAGGTAAATTCGTACAAATATAAAGATTATATTCTCCTTATATAGCTGACTTAACTTATTTTTAAAACGCTTTATACACTCTACACTAAATCGATTATATAGGTATTCAGTGGATGAAAACACCTACAGTGTCAAACTTGCATTTTGGCCAAGTTTTTATGTGTGCAGCATTGATCTGCGTTCTTCATCTTCAAGATTCTTTAACTGCACAACTTTACCTCCATTGAAAGAACTAACACAGCTCATATATAGGCCAATAATACCAATCGTCCACCCATTACCCACCTACAATACCAATTGTAGTCTAACCTGGTCCAACTTCAGTGTTATTCCTGAGAAATCCGTCCGGCTCGCTCAGCCAGTAACATCGAAGCCTTGATGTCTTGTGGCCAATGACTTTGTGATGTTCTTAAAACAACCAACATTGCGCCAAAACTTTAAAATGACAATGCTTTGCTTCAAATTGCATACACCAGTTACGCACAAGGGGTCAAAATCTAAAATATGTATAGTTTTTAAAAAAATTTAAAAACCATCCAACGAGTGATCAAAGATGAGATGAATTGCTGATTTTGTGTTTTCTAAGCATAAAAAAGTAGTTTTTGAAGTTTGTTTAAATGGGAAAGTGGATTCTCTATTCCTTTAACATCTAAAAATATCACTATCACTCCTTGACTTTACTTGGAAACAATGGTCACACCACATTTTCCAAACGACTTTCAAAAATTTTCAAACCTTTGTCGCTTATTGTGCCTAATATGAGTACTCGGCCAAAACAAATAAACCTCCATGGATAATTTCCAGGCTGTGGTATGTACGTATAAAATTTGAATTAGATTAGGCTTGTGAAAGAGGACATAACTGTCTAACTGTCCTGCCAGAAGACCTAAATTAATTTTGTGAACAAAGTATTTACTTGTTAGCTTTCAATTTCCTAAAGTGCCAAATTTGTTGATTTCACTTTGCAGGGCAACATAATTTTATCTTCAAAAAACCTGGTATCGCCAATTAGGGGACAAGATAAAAAACTGATTGAGAAACAAGAAACAAGATCCTGTTGTTCTAGCCAGAAAAAGAAAGCACCATGCGGTGATGAAGCTCTGAACAAGGCCCAGACCAGCCGCAGAGGCGTAATAAACTTGGAACCACCAGCTATTGATGGTGAAGATGACCATTCCCATAAAGCCCACATGTCGTGGATGCAAAAAGAATACAAAATAAGGAGCTTAAATATGGATATTGTCCGGCAAAAAATGCTTTTGACATTTTCTTTCAGGAGAAGACTAATTAATATACTTTCATGTATAACCATGTAATTAATGGAAAGTATCCTTTTCTCTTCAAAAATGAGCAGGTATGTATATATAATTTATGTTACTGCAACTGTAGGGTTTTTCCAACTGCTAAACATTCTACTGTAATGGGTACCCCTTGCATAGTGATTGCCAGGAAAGGATTTAATTTAAGCCAGCCTGTTAGCGCTTTCATTTTGATATACGTATATAGTAAGTTTGGAACTTGGTATAGTTGGGGTGCTGGGCATGGCTGAATCATATATCAAGATATCTGGCTTGGTATTGCATATAGGATAGTGCTTTTCACTTTTATTATCCCATGCAAATCTAAATTAAAATATCATTTCACAGCTCTAATTTTATTTAAATGTATATATTCTAATATTTAAGTTCAAGGATGAATACCAACGTCTGCTATCAGAGCAAAATATAGAAGAGCCAATCAAGGCAAATCTTCTGGACCTGGCTCCTAAAATACTCAAGATTGCCAAAAACAGAGATTTACCACAGATGGAAAAGCTTGTGTTACTGAGGAGGACTCTTAAGAGGAAGCTGATGATGAGAACTTAAATGACGGTTAGAAGAGTTAATTTTTACTATTAACTATCTACACATGAACATTTTTCACCTATACCTACATATCCTTTAATTAACATACACTGGTTCAATTAATTGTTTCCCCATAACTTTTCTTGAAATCTGAAGCTTTAGTATGTATTAACTATAATTAATAACAGAATTTCATATTCTACTGGCTAAAATATACAAGTTAAGTTCACCTCGACATTTCAAAGCCACTTTGATGAAAAGAACTTTTCTATATATTTTAGGCAGTAAATAGGAGATCGTGGGTTAAAGAAAGTTTTCAGAAAATGTAGAGAAAATGTTTGGTTTTCAATGGACCTTTCCCTTTTTAGCTTTCAAGCACGCAATGTGTGACGGTAGTTGATTATGAAGCAACTATGAGTTGCAATATCGCTGTGTTTAGTAGCAATTTTGTATGTAAGAAAACCTTGAGGACTCTTTTTGCTTCATTGTTACTCTGAATGGCTCCCGAACATGACGAAATCCAACTCAAGCTGACCTTGATAATTAACGCATTGCACGCTTGAAAGTTAAAAGGGGAAAGGGCCATTGCTCGCTCTTGATCCAGCTTCCGAGCTCATAAACTATCTTCTCAAAGAAATTTTAAGCTGGTAATGTAATTGCTGTACAATATTATCAAATATAATATTTATTGATATATGTATAAATTTTATTGTATGTATAAATAAAGTATATAAATTATTGCAAATTATTAATTGTGAAAGTTATAAACATTTGCCCCGTTCATGCAGCTAGGAAATAAGGCACATGGTTGTGATTAGAAACTTGAAGTGTAAAAAGAAAAGAAACTAGGAGGTATAAAACAAATAATGAAAGTGAACAGTTACATACTGTTAAATTAACTTTTATTTAAAAAGGGATTTATTTAGAAAGCAAGTATTTACAAAAAGGCTTAAAATATACTAAAAAACTACAAACAGTTTCAAACTTGAACAGTCTACACAGAGTGTATAAAAAAAAACGTAATCCAACTTCAACATGCTATTGTACGTGAACTACTCAGTCTATGACTGAAATTTTTCACATTCAGAAAGATCAGGCTTTTAACTATCGGATGTCATGCTTTTAATACCAAATGATGAAAAAATGAGCACATACGAGGCTGATAAAAAATGTTAGTCACAATCGCATATTTTCACCTCTGAGCATAATTTAGGCAGTGCATAACAAAAAAAAACAATTAATCACGAACATGTCAAAGCTTGCACTAGTCTTACAACATGTTTATTGCAAATTATTCACATTTACACTTTAAAGAGATTATGCGCCAGTGCCTTCTACGTAACCACCATCTCTATTGACACAAAGTTGACATCGCCGCCGCATTGCTTGGAATGTTCTCCTGATTAGCTGAGGATTATCTCTCAACGCTTCAACTTCATGTTGAGTGTGATTCTGCAAATCATTTAGATCATGTGGTGGGCTTGTGTACACTTGGGAGTTTACTTGGCTGTTCATGGCAAATGCAGCTTCATCTCCAATAACGAATGGCCAAAGGAAATCTTTGTTTCTCTCATAATGATCACACAGCCATAGTGCAAACTGCATTCACCAAGCATAATCTCGAGGAAGGAGTTGGTGTTGGATCTGTGTGTGGCAAGGGTGCATGTTTAGATCTAGCCTCGTTATCCTTTTAAAAGTAACAGATGGTAGGCCAACACCATCCCATCTTGCGCTTGTACCTGTTGGATGCTCTTCCACCAATTTTGATCGTCCAGTGCGATGTCGGCCTGAATTTCAATGTCGGCCCAAATCTTAAGGGAGTTAATTTTCAATGGTCCCGGCTCTCACAGTTTAAAATATGCAATTTTTGATTAACCTTTTTTATCAACCTCCTATTCACTCATTTTTTCACCATTTGGTATTAAAAACATGTCATTCAATACAGAAAATCTTAACCTTTCCGAATGTGAAAAAAATTTGTTCATAGAAGGAGTAATTATGTAAACAATAGCACGCCAAAGTTGGATTACATTTTTTTATACACCCTGTATAAGCATATAAAAGATTAAAACTTCAATTAATGGCTTAGTTAATGTCCAAAGTTTCAAGGTTGTCTTTTTGCATTTCAGTATCTTAAGATTGGGTAACATTTTCTATTATGTTTCGATTCAGGTCTATCTGCAGTGTGTATGTTGTTGTGAGCATACAGTTGGGGTTTTGGCTTTGTCCAGTTCAACAAGCTCAAGATAACCTAAGGAGATATAAAGGAATTGTCTATTTTATCTACATATGTGAAGAAACAAGGCAACCTTGATTAAACCTTATAGAAGAATAGTTGAGTCAAATAGTTGACATTAATTAAGTTTATTTGACTCTGAAACAAATATACTTACAGATGCAGTTGCTGTATACCAGTTGTTATCTGAAAGCATCACCAGGCACTGGTTTGTTACAGTAGCTAGTCTTGACAGGGCCTCGATTTGGGGGCCCGGGGCAAAATCTACCTTCGGGGCCCTTTCCCTATGGGCACAGTTTAACCCCATTTTCTCTTATTTGTTCCGTATCTATCTTTACCATATAAAGTTGTATTTGTGTAGACAATGATTTACAAGTTTTACAGGGGAATAAAATTTCAACAAGTTAAAAGTAAAGTTTTGAAGTGAATAACGACATCATGGTTATTTTCTTGCTATGTCACACTCAGAATGTTTGGACTATTGTATCTTGCCTACACAGAGCCGGTTAACAATTCTTGACAAGTTTGTAAAAGTGAAGAAAATTTCAACAAGCTAAAAGTGTACTTTACATGCACATTTGAACGCAAACGAGTCAATAACATCATCATAGTTAATTTTTCTTGCTATGTCACGCTCACATGACAGCATTATCCGTTCTTGCCCCATTGTGAATCTTCGACAGTTCTTAACTATACTAAGTTTACTAAAAGATCTTTCACCTCCTGAAAAAGATACAGGTATGCTTACAAATAAGCATAAAACAACATAAATTTGAGAAAGAATTGTCTAAAGACCTTTCTCATATATCTTATTCAACAATGCAATAGAAGATAGCTTTTTGTCTTTTCTGACCAAACTACTGCTTCGCTTCAACCTATCCAAGAGGCGCATTTCTTCCAGAAGTATACCAAACTCATAAACTCACACAATGGTATACCTATCGTTTATAATTACATTTACATAAAACCAAAAATTTCCTCACGATTGCTCACTGATTTCTTGAATGTCTCACTCCTTTATCTCTATTTTTATGTGTGTTCTCAGTTCTATTGTTATCTAATTAACTTGACGCATGACATTTGCCACGCCCAGCTTTTAATTAGATGTTATTCATGCATTTAGTATACAACTCCCCTAAAAATTTAGTCAATTTTTATAATGTCAACTTAATATGAAGTGTTCCTCATTTACTTGTCTCTGCGAGGCTCTCTGTTCAGTCTGCATCCTCGGTTTCTGCCAGTTCGCGTATTTTCTTTCATGCTTCAATAGCTGCTCCCCGTTTCTTGGTATTCCAATGTCGCACCAAGTAAGAATGGACTGGCTTCAACCCCAAATGGAACTCTTGCGAACCGAAAATGTACCTCTTTCTCGTCGCGTTTAAAGAGAAATCTGAAAGCACCTCTGTCTTCTTCTTTGATTGCTATCTGCAAGAAAGCTTTCTGAATGTCTGCAAGAAGCAGATTTGACAACATTCTTGCTCGTACCATGCGGTTGGAGAGAAGGCCCAGTAAACATACAATTATTGATACTGGATGCCAGTGGATGGGGTTTGGAGCTCGCGTCAAAAACCATTCGCACTTTGGTAGTTGATGCATCTTGCCTTACGACTGGCTTATGTGGCATGTAGTACACTCGCTCTCCTGATGGCTCGTCTGGGGCTTTCTCAATCACACCGCTTGCTAACTGATCCTCGATAATCTTCTCATACTCTTGCTTCAGGTTTTCATATTTCGCAAACTTTTTTTTCACGTTGCTCAGTCGTCTTCTGCTTTGCTGTTCGTTTGTGGTTGTTAACTTACTCCCTGGAATCCATGGTATGCTGACTTTGTATCTGCCATCATCTTGTCTAGTTATGTTCTCTCGAAACTCAGCAAGCACTTGCATTTGGTCATTTTCACCACAATCTTCAACTCCGAGAACATCAAGACTATATAACTGTTCGTAATCGTTAACCTCTCTAGTGCACATACAGGCATCGCTCGAATAATTCTCACCACCATGAACAACCCATCCGAATGTTGTCTCTTCCACCAAGGGATCTCCAGGATTACCTTTGTAAACTTTCTCAGTTCGAATTCTGCTGTATGTGCCATCACCGAGTATGATATGAATTGGATGTTCTCCATCGCTGGTCATGTAAAATCCTTTGTCTTGCATATGGGTGTATTTCTTCTTGAGTTCATTCATATCTGGTCTTTTAACTGTGGTAAAATTTTGGAGTCTGGAACTGGTCAATTCAATATCTTCATGTACTTTCCCATCAAGAGAATTTATGGTTGTTTGGAAAATAGGCATGGCTTGAGTCAAGGTGCCAGTCACAGTTACAATTTTGTGGGATTCGTGATGTGTTGGATTCAAATTGAGTTTCTTTACAGCCTCGCGTGAAATAAAGTCTCGACCTGAGCCAGTGTCGAGATATGCCCACAGGGTTTGTCCCTTTATCTTGACAGGTACAATGGCTGGAAGCGATTTCTCCTCAGTTATAGTGGTAAATCCAGTTACTAACTTGTTCTCCTGGTCATCTTCATTCTTATCACACAGGCTTGTGTGATGTCTGGCCTTACACTTCAGGCAACCACGACTTCAACATTGATTTCCCCTGTGCCCAGTGCGACCACAGTTAAAACACAGATTCTTCTCAGCAAAGAATTTCTTTCGGTCGGCCAATCGTTTCACTGTTTTGCATTGATCACTCCAGTGTTCACTATTCGAACAAAAAACACAGTGAGGTTTTGGGGGTCCGGATGACTTTTGATACCAGTGTCCTTCTGGTTTCTTCCATCTGGTTTCTTTCTGATTGCTCGCATCTTCCACTTTATTTCGTCGAAGCCACTTTTGCAAATTTAGTAATAGTACTTCCATGGACCATTCTTCCCAGTCATCATCTGCTCGAACCAAGTCGGCTCTTATGTGTGGCAACTTGTTGATAGTGGTCATAACAAATCCGGAAAGTTTTTCACCGTCTCCCAGAGTTTGAATTGCATCGAAATTCTTGCTTAATTTCTCATAGAAATCTTGCACCTTTTCATAATTATGCCCTCTCACTGGAGTTAAGTTAATTATTGCATCCATATGGGCGTTGATAACATGTTTGGGGTGACCATACTTGCTTTTTACTCTTTCCCATGCAATCTTGTAACCAACTTCACCCGGTTTCAAATTAGCAATCTTTTCCCTCACCTTTGGGCTCACCATTTCCAATAAAAACCCGTATTTTTTTTCGGCTGTACTCGCTTTTTCATGAACAAGTGTTAGAAACATGTTCTCAAACTGCACCCAATCTGTGGGAGTTCCATTAAACAGTGTTATTTTTAACTTTGGTAATTTCGCTGTAGATGAACGAGCGGTCTGTTCCATTTCTATCTTTCTCTGCGTCATGCGTAATTCAGCTTTGTGCTTTTCTTGCCATAAATGTCGTTCGCGATCCTCTTGTGCTTCTCGAATTTCAGCCCGCCGTCGTTCTTCTTGTTGAAATTGTTTATCTTTTAATTCTAATCGTTGTAATTCTGCTTTGTCTTGAGCCTTTTCTTGTTTTTCCTTTAGTTGTTGTGCAATTTTCTCGTTGTCTACGATCAGCTCTGAATATTTAGACTTTGTTTCCTTTTTCCACTGTCTGACTGTACCTGTTGTTTTTCCGTTATCGATTTTCAACTCTTCTGCTTGCGAAATAAGCTCTGATATTTTGACAATTATTTTCCCAGCGCGATTGTATATGGCTTCCATTTCATCGTAATCTTTCGCTTCAATAATTTCATTTGTTTCTTCTAAGAAATACTTTAACTTAGCGATTTCTTTTTCAATATCTCTTTCAATATCTTTTGCTCGCCTGCGTTTGCAATCTTGCTCGCTTCTTCGTCGCTCATACTGATAAATAAACAGTTTTGTCTTCGTAATTTACTGCTTTGTGTGATTGATTTTCGTCGCTTTAATCCACTCGTATCCTGGTCACGGCACCACTAGTATACCGAACTCATAAACTCACACAATGGTATACGTATCGTTTATAATTAACTTTACATAAAACCAAAAATTTCCTCACAATTGCTCACTGATTTCTTGAATGTCTCATTCCTTTATCTCTATTTTTATGTGTGTTCTCAGTTCTATTGTTATCTAATTAACTTGACGCATGACATTTGCCACGCCCAGCTTTTAATTAGATGTTATTCATGCATTTAGTATAGAAGTTCTCATCTAAGTCACTTGGATAAAATTCTGAAAGGTATTTGCAACGAATCTCTATCTGTTCTCCTGCTGTTTCGCCACCTGTGTTAGAGACTTCAGAGGAATTCCATATGAAGGAAAACATGTAGTTTACTTGTTTGGTTTTTTCGAATCTGCATGCTATCTCGCAAATTACTCTATCCAAGGCAACATTAAACACATTAATTTGGTATTCCCTTTCCTCATTGTGCTGCTCGTGTTCACTATCTTTGGGTTTATCATGAAATCGTCTAGGAACTCTCCGCCTTGTTTCTTTAAAATGCTCACTGAAAGCAATGGAAGCAGCAACAAGCTTTGATTCCTCGTAGATCAAGTTCCAGGATTCCCTTATGCGTTTCAAATAATTTTGCAGTGACTCAATCAGGTGCAGTTCTTCATCAATGATGATCTTAGAAGCTTGAAGCAAATGCTTACATCATTTATAGCCTGTAATGCCCTAAACCAAAAGGTTATAAGTATGACAAATTCAAGTGATTGCAACCATTTGATTAGGTTATCGACATTATCAGACACTTCACCAGGCAAGTTGTGATCTTTTAATATTTTCAATGCATCCAATATTTTTCTTGGCCTCTTTGCTAAGGGCTTGACTGCCTCTATTCTCGCATTACAAAGAGTAGTAGATAATTTGTGTAGAGATATATCAGCCGCCTCTAGCAAAATCTTCCAATGTGAAGGACTACCACTGAACAAATTATACAACCTCTGAATATTTCCAAAGAAGCTTTTTACAACAGCTGACGACTCTGATGCGTGTACTGCACATAGATTAAGAGTATGTGTGTGCACTGCATGGAGAAAATAACGCTTGAGGATTTTTCTCAAGAATTGCTGCTTGAGCTCTATTGTATACCCAAGCCATATTTGCACCGTTGTCATACCCTTGACCTTTGCAGTTTTTAAACTCAATGTTATGTTTTTTGAGGACTTACAGATATTGTATTACTGTACAATATCTCTTCCTTTCTTTTTATCACAATCTTCCACTGTCAAAAATCTTTCACAGATCTCCCAAGCATCATCATTTAAATTTGCATATCTTAAGATGAATGTTATTTGTTCTGTGTGAGAAACGTCAGGGGTACCATCAACAATGATGCTATAGTAAATTGCTTGTTTAACTTGTTCCCCAATAGCATTGAGAACAACTTTAGAACATTCTTCAATAAACTCGTTCTGTGAACGTGTTGATAGATAATGTGCTTGCATTCGGCTGTTGTTTTCCTGGTGTTTTTTGACTTCTTCCAGATGTGACTTTAAAATATGATTGTGACCACTAAGCAGTTCCAAGTTTCCAAGAAATAGACCATTATTTGGATTAACTAATTCAGTTGTTGTTCCACAGAAGAAAAGGTTTTGCTCTGACAGAAACAATACCACGTTTAATATGCATCGAAATATTTCATGCCATGTCGATATTTAGTTTTTAACTGCCGTTGAAAGTTGCTGATCAATTCCAGTTGTCTTATTCAGACTTTTTTCAAGTTCTTTCCACGTAATGTAACTTAACAAATGCAATTAACTTCACTGATGAGCATCAATTTTTTGATATAATTTTCTCCAGTATCTTTATGTCCTGCATCAGGCCTTGTTAGCTGGGATGTCTCAAAGGTCTTCTCTTTTTGTGATATTTCTTGAAAAAGACAACATGGGAAGCAAAAGAGACCTTGTTTTGATGCACTCCATACCAACCAATCTCTTCTTACCTTTTCACCATTTGGCATTTCTTGACAAAAAATATTTTGAGGAAAGTTACGGCCAGAACTGTCTCTTGGAAAAGATTTTGGATTTTCTGGCGGACTAATTTCGGTAATGTACTCTGTGTCGTGTTTGTTTAGATGTATCCAAGTTGAAGAATCGTTTGATAGTAAAGGTGTAAATGTTCTTTCAGCATTGGAGTGGTTGGACAACCCTACAGTTACCTGTGTGGGCAGTGTGGCTACTGTATCGCCATTTATCTTATTACATTTTTAAACTTTTGATTATATTTATTTTTTCAGACTGCTTTTATACTAAATTTACCTTGCATGGGTAAATGTTTGGTTAGCTGTAATTGAATTTATAACATGCTTCTAAATTAAAGAGGTAATCTATATTTTTTGTTTTCTCAGGGTTTGAAGTATCTCATTCTCAGCTTGAAGAAGCAGCTATCCAATCTGGTGTCCTAGAGGGGACAGATGACTATCTTGAACAGGATTTTCATGAAGTATGTCAAGGATTTTTGTCTAACCCTGAACAAGTTTTAGCAGAAGACTGTGTTGCAGCATATATAAACTTTAAAGAAAGATACATTGCCCAATATTCAAATACTTCCCAAAGTATACAATGACCATTTTAAAAGTTTTCTCTTGAAAACATTTTAATAACCCAAACTACAATAATGTATAGTACATTAGTTAGATGTTACATATAATTTCATACACAACATGTAGTTTGTCTGCCAGGGGCATAACAAGCTGGGTGGTATTTCTTCCCAAACTTTTCAAACTGTAATAGTTGGTAATTTTGATAGTGTTTCACTATTAAACCAAACTGGAATGGTAAAATCATGAAATGTATAAACTTTGGAACCAAATTTATGTGACTTTGACAGATAACACCCCCCCCCCCCTGAGCGAACAGGCCTAGGTATCAAACAAACATTTCAACTAACTTTTAAAAACACAACAAAACAGGTCCTATCAGCTCTATGAGTAATCATTTACTTTGACTCGTTGTTCTGCTGTTATTATGGTGTTAACATGTTTGTAAAAGGGTTCAAGTCCAACAGTTGTGCAATATATATTACATTTATGATTTTGGCAGAAATTTGTTATTGCACCAACAGACAAATTTCCCCCACAATACATATATTCGTCATCATCAGACTTTGACTCTGTGGAGGCAATTTCCGGATCACACCCTGCACCTTGAATATCTAAAAGCATCAACTTACGGTCACTCTTCTCAAATGAAAAGTGAGGTAAACATTCTGCCGTTTGGCATAAAGCACTTTTTTCATTTGAAATTGCTCCGTCATTATTTACATACACTTATATAATCCTCAGTGCCACTTATATACTCCTCTATTGTGACACATTCTCCTGTCAGCTCTACTTTTCCCATGAATATGCTATTATAGGAAAAGAGATTGACAGCTACTGAATCATCAACTTCACTGAACCTTGTTTGGAGTTGGTGGGCAAAGCTCTTTGCCAGCACATGGGTTTGCACGGTTTTCTTTGTGTAATTTTCTGGAGACTGGTTAGTCTTCCCCACACATTCAATGGTGGTTGGCAAATATTTCTTCACCACCCATTCCACACCCTTAAATTCAGCAGTAGAACTAGTAGCTTTATAAGCTCTTCGGAAACCACCTTCACCAAAATAAGTGCTTGCTACCTGGAATTCTGCTCGCACTGGTATTAAATGACTGTTGGATTTTTGACAACTTTTCCAAGATCAAGCATTGCAGATGTAGACAAACTTTTTGGGAAAGTCTCTCCTGCCTTAGCTGGAGGCTTTTTGGTGGGATTTTCCATTTGGTGGGCTAGACATTCGGTATGCAACAGATACAAAATTTGCCGACTTTTCCACCTTGATAACACATGGGATAATCCGAACATGTATGACCTTTAGGTCTGGAATTAGATGTAATGAATTGCATGTTGGCCCACGCTCACCTGCCAGAACATCTACTTCCATCCCCTTTCCAACGAATCCTTTGCATTGAAAATATGTTAAACAGGCATTTTTTATTCCGTCTAAGGTAATATCTGACTTTTTATACGGAATGAATTTGCGTGGTCTGATTCTTGAATATTTTTGGGCTTTGGCTTCAACTGATGACGGATAAGCGCTGGACTATCAACTCATCCAACTGAAGCTTTGGCTTTTTTGCATTTTTTGCGTTTGACTCAGCCTTTCGTTTAGTGTTCACGTCCCTTTTTGATTTCACTTTTTCTTCATACTTTTTCTACAAACCAGACATCGTCAACAAGATTTTTAGTGAGTGATGCAGTTCACAATGCATTGTGGTATGCTATTGGCAGCTCTGGGCTGCTGCTGGTGAAAAAATTTATAAAAAATAATGATGAAGAAAAGAAAAATAAATAAAAAATAAAATAAAATAATAAAGTAAAATAAATAAAAATAAAATATTTAAAATATTATAAAATGTTTCATAGAATTTCAAAAATTTAAATGGCAGTTCTGGGCCACCATACACATATGTTAGGCTTTGAGACTTTGCAGGGTGGTTTAAAAATTCCTTTGGTTCGTCAATTGTGGTGGACTTTCGTTTAGTGGGCGTTGATGTCATGATGTTGCTATTGTTCCTAGCATTCTTGAATTTTTTTCTTGGTCTTGTCGGAATTTTGTCCCTGTGATAAATATTTAGTGTCTAATGAAAACTTGAGTGTTTGCAACAGATATATATAGAGAAGCTCAGCCAATCAGTGTGAAGATCACCGGACTACAATAAACAAGGCCTTGCTGCGCATGAGTCATACAAAGAACGT